AAAAATGGACTACAGGACGAGGAGTTATAGGAAAGGAACGAAAAAAGGACCAAAGGACCGCGGGGACAAATAGGTACGCGATGCGCATGGACCGATATTTAGAGTATCGCACTTGAGTTATGAACTTCTAGGGCGATAAATACGTGGAAAGAAAAAACGAAGAGCGTGACGGTATTGCGAGAGATATGCGAGAAATAAACGGAAACTAGACGCGGACTTGAAGGAAAAGAACACCCAGATCGCTGGGAAGAAGACTCTACCCCGGGGGTTCGAGGGTTGCCTCTTGTTCTTAACCCCTTGCCTTACGATTTAAATTCCAATAGTGCGTGCCATAAACAATAAAAATGTCGGTCATACATAGGGCCATTTCACGGTTTGGCTGAACGTTCAAAGTCTCAAACGTCTCTCATACTTATTGTTTACGTTTGGCCCGATTGATATACCTCATCTCTCACGCAATATTGTAGGTGAAGAGGTTAATACATTCAGTGTCGTAGTAAAGTAGTAAAGTTTAAACTTTTAAAGTTCAGGTAGCAAAGTTTGAAACCATTCCGTACACCCAGTTCGAAGAAAAGTTTCATGAACGATTGATCCCTCGGATGCCATTTTCACATCCTCTTAATTATTATTCACATTTATTATATCTAGGTTTTAGTTATTATTATAATCTAGAGTTATTCAAACGTCCAGGACAATTTTTCCTTTTCTACATTCCGTCAATAGGGATGTTCCTGATCGGTCGATTTCCTCGTTTTCTGCTTTCTGTCGACTTGAATCCCTCTTATCGATTGGCTGGAACGGTCGCCTCAGCAATTATTTAACCGATTGATCCATCCGACGAAGCCTCTCAATCTCGAAGCAAGCTGCAGTCACGTAAGGACTCGAAGGCGGCCAAAAGTGAAGTCACATCGCCAAGAAACGCTGAGACACGTTTCACTAACGATTAGATATACAGAAGTTGCGGCATTTTTCATCAGGAACGAGAAGACACGGCCCTGTATGTCTTATTAGTTGCAACGGTTCCGCATTTTCTACGTCCTACCAATTTCGATGCTCTTCGTCGGTTTATTCAAATAGATGACCCAGTTATTGAGTCAATTAAAAGCCGCAATTATTTGTTCGATTAACCTGTCCAATGAAGTCTGTCGATTTCAAGCTTCAACCAACTGACGACTTGACGTCCAAACGGAGTAACGTCACAAAAGAACACCGAGACGGTTTTTCGTACCAGCTAGATATATAAATTACAGTTTACGAGAACAGAAAGTCATCTTCCAATTTTCATTTTTCAATTATAATTTGGAAACAATGTCAGTAGAACGTTTTCAACTGCTCTTTCCTTCTTACGCGCAGAAAAAGAATTTGGTTCTTTAAACAAAATCTTTTGATTTACTACATTTGTTTAATTTCAGAAAATATTTTAGGCAATAAATCAAATGTTTTGGTTGAATGTACCGAATCACTAATATTTGGCGTGATCTACCACAATATTTGACATAATCAACCAAAAACTATCGACCAAAGAATTTTGTCATGTCAACTGTTCGAAATTACGTATTATTTTTCTGGGTATGCCTCTTTTCACCCGTTATCTGTTTAAAGAGCACTAAACTGTTATAATCAATAAGTCAAATGTTTTGGTTGAATGTACCAAATCACTTTAATATTTGGCGTGATCTACCACAATATTTGACATAATCAACCAAAAACTATCGACCAAAGAATTTTGGCATGTCAACTGTTCGAAATTACGTATTATTTTTCTGGGTATGCCTCTCTTTTCACCCCCTTATCTGTTTAAACAGCACTAAGCTGTCACATTCAGCTGTTATAATCAATAAGTCAAATGTTTTGGTTGAATGTACCAAATCACTTTAATATGTGGCGTGATTTACCACAATATTTGACATAATCAACCTAAACTATTGACCAAAGAATTTTGTCATGTCAACTGTTCAAAATTACGTATTATTTTTCTGGGTATACCTCTCTTTTCACCCCCTTATCTGTTTAAAGAGCGCTAATCCCTTGGCCACGCGTCGTTTGGGTTTTTCCCGAACGGAAACGAGGTTCGGCAAGGCTCGGGTCTTTTATGTTGGCCTTGAGCAGTTAGTTCTTCACCGAGAGTCCTCGGATGCGCATCGATAGAGAAACTAAAATTTCGAGGGAAGTTTCAACTAATTCAAAGGTGACTATATCCAAGCTAGAGCCGTTAACCGTACAGCCAGCGACCGACGCGACCTTTTTAAATTTTCTAAATATGTATTATATTTATATAATTTTTTTCGACGGTACAATAACGTGAATTTGGAGACCCTAAGGTAGGTCCTGAAACTCGCGAGATATCATTTTTTGTAAACTATTTTTTAAATACTTATAAACAAATTTTAAAAGAATTGATATTTCATGAGTTCCAGGACCTTCCTTATAGTCTCCCTATTCACGTTGTAAAGTTTCAAATTATTCGGTAAACCGAATTGAGAGAAAAGTTTTATAAACGAAACCTCTTCGACGCCACTTTCGCATCACCTTAAACAAGAGCAAATAGATGCGTTCTCCTCTCTGAATGTTATCCGAGGACGTGCATTGAGTAGTTCGATGGATAATGCACGTGTCGCATGCATTCTTCTCTGGCCGGGATCCATCCAGGGCGCGTTAGATCCCTGATCGATGCATCAAATTCCAGAATCCCACACGGGAAGGGATCGAGTACTCTCTTTGAATATCGCGAGCTCAGGTGCAGTCGAACGATGTAAAAGAACGAAGCCCACCCGTGACAAAGACGTGACTATTCGTGCATACGCGACCTCGCGTGGTGCATTCGCACGTGTGCACTCGCGTAAACGATAATTTCTCCGTGCAATTGGCTCTGGAGCCTAATGACAGAGTAATATCGATGCTCGCCGTTACCTTGGGCTACGACAATCATTTATGACGTTTTCTGCAAAGAAAGGAGGAAAAGGAAATAATTACTTTTTGGTTATTTCTTACACGGGCATAGACCAATGGGTCAAGATCGACCTCGGTACAACACGTTTTCTTGACAGAAAGTTCAACTTCGAGATAGAAGATAATTTATTGAAATTTTACCAGTCGGTAGAACATCACTCCCGGCGATCACAGAGTTGAAGACAAATCTGGGAAAATGTTTGTTGATGTTATCAGGGTAATCGCTCGTCTTAAAAATTTTACCCTGGGAAAGGAACTAATTTGGAATGTAATCAGGGAATCTTCTAAAGAAGGTTAAGCGGGCCCGGGAATGTGGAATTTTTTAAATTATTCATGCATTGAATTTGAGCAAGTTTTTATATCCGACAATTTCAAGGTACGCCGCTGGTTTTTTATTTTTATTTTTTTATTTATTTGAGCGTCTTGGATTTTAAGCAGTTTAGCTGTTGGAGTTTAGAATATTATACCTATTTGGTCAAAAAGTAGTCTTTACCTGTTACCAGGAGGGTTATAATTAACTTTTTGACCACTTATAATTTGAATACCAAACAGCTTGAATGGTGTAGTAGAGATATTTGCATTTTAATCTAAACGGCAAAGACGCCTCCTGGGAATCCGGAATCGTTCCGAGATTCGTCCCGGTTATGCAGCTAAGCGGAAAGGAATCCCCATTGTCGCTTAAAATGCATTGCCCCGTGATTTCACCGTCGAAAAGTATTGCCGAAAGACGTTAAATCTCTACCGATCTCGACCTCGATTTTAATACAAAAGACATCCGATGAATAATGGCAATAACTCGAAGGAATTTGTTCCAAAGGCTGCTGCAGCCTTGGCAGTCATATTAGGCCGACAAGACTGTCGTCAAGGATATGCATCTCGAGTGCATCACTGAGTGCGTCGTATGTGTTAATATTCAACATGCGAGATCTTAGAAAATTCATAATTATTCGTTCCTTTCATTTAGTAAGGAAAAGAGTTTGGTATATGAATACATGGCGCGTTATTAATGTATTTAGGGAAATAGGTAATGAAACATATATCTAATAACTTAATAACTGATGGATAAAACTGCTGATCATGATCATTAATGTGTTATGAAAGTGTCATATATATGTGACACTTTCATACCACATAGTCAAAGTATTTCTAAAACTTTTCCCCAAACAGGATGCACCGAATAGTTCGACAATTTGATTATGGAAATCCTAATAAAAGTCTTAAAACTCGGGAAATTAAATTTAAACAAAAAATGTACCTATCGCGGACAAGAACTGAAAAAGGAAACTTTATTCCAAAAGTAAAATTTCGTGAATTTCAGAACCTTCATTTGGACCTACACAATCACGTGTTAAAGTTTCAGATTATTCGGTGCACCGAGTTTGGAAAAAAGTTTTATAAATATTTTCACATTTTCATATGTACCTATAGAATGACCCTTTCATATCACCTCAAGTAGATCAGCAAAAACGGACTTTTTCCTAACTACTTTCTAAATGACATGCAGCACACTTATACATTCAGTAATTTTTCCTTAATTCTTAACACTTAACCCGTCATCGACCCGCTCTGTCTAAACAAAGTCTTCCTTATTGAATTACCCTGAGGTGTCTCAACTCTTTTTCTTTCCTTTACTCAAAGAGGGCTTCTTTGCACGGCCTTAGCCTTTTTATAAACTGCAGAAGCGTGTCATGCGAGGCAGAAATAAAACCCGTCGATGGGTCACGATCTCGCGCTTTTTCTCGGAAGCTTTTTCTCAGCCGTTTACTTAAGAGACGGAATTTTATTTCTATACCTCTCTTGAAGATTATGAACTTTTCATCGAGCCGGAGAAAGAAGGTCTATTTAAGAAAAGCCAATATTTGCTCCTCTGACCGCTCCTTATTTTTTTTTTTTTGTGTGTTTGAAAGAAAACACGTTGCTTCGGACACGAAGTCGCGAGGCGATCGTCGCAGAACTTCGAGATTATAGAAGTAAAGTTCGATCGACCCAGTTGCCGATGCGAACACCCGGCAAGTTTAAGCTTCTATTAATAACAATCTAATTTGTTACAGATCAAACTAGAACGCGTCCTGGGTGTGACCGTGTCCAGCAATGCAGCTTTGGACTGCGACACCACCAGCGAGCTGGTCGCTTATCCTGCTGGGTAAGTCGATTTTCCATCAGGATTAAGGGGATGTGAAAGTGGTATCTTAGGGATCAATCGTTCATCAAACTTTTCTCTGAATCGGATGTACTAATTTCTTTCAAATTTTATCTACTCGGTTACGGTAGTTAATCTTATTCGACTGCGGGAACCGATTCACTTTGTTCCGGGAACAAACTTATTTGGTTGCCGTAGCCAATCGAGTCGGGAGCAGGAGCCAACCTACTTGGTTGCCACGACCAATCTTGTACTTTTTAACATGTAAAACACAAATTTGTAATATATAACATGAAAAAATTCTTTGTAGCCTTATCCAATTACAGGGGATGCTCTTTAAGTGAACCTTTATTCAATGAATTTATGTATTTATTTATTTAACAATCTGGGAGTCTTCGGGTGACTGGGGCGGGTCTCAAGGGCTATACCACCTAAGCTAACGATGTTTTCTAGTGAAATTCGTCCACGAATACTATTTTAATTCAAATGGAAGAGTCCCAATCTTTACGTTTATAAAATTTATTAAATATTATTATTTTTTTTTTTCAACATTTTAAGTCGCCGCTGTAATAGTATATCGATACCACATGACTGTTTATTTTATATATTACAAATTCTTATCTTACCGGTTAGGAAATATACGAATTCAAAAGCACATGTTAAGACAAAGAAATTTGAATTTTGTAAAGGTGGAGGTGCCAGTTATACGCACCTGGGTTCAGCTCCTGTCTGTCGTTTCCGCCGTCAATTTTTGGAGTATCAAACCTATTTCGGATTCTCCTGCATTCTACGTTTTAGTGGAAAACGTTAAACTTGTCGAAGACAATCGAAGTCGGCTCATAGAGAAACTTTTCATGGTTCATAGTTTTATCAGGACCCGCCCTGACTTCACGCGGGAATCATAAGAACACGCTCGCACGGTCGTTTTCTGATCGACTTGTTTCAGTATAATCGTCACTCTTCGAGTCTTTCTTTTCGTATATTAATGTTTCATGCACCTAAATTTTCTTAGCAAGATGCTTTAAAGTACGGTGAAAACCGCTTCAAAATCCGTTCAGTGATTCTCTATGTCAACCGAAACAAACACGCCGACAAACATCTACCGGGAATGTTACACTACGTTGAGAGGATTTATAGGCGCGCCCTAGAACACTCTGCCAAAAGTCATGCTTATAAAATTATTCCCACATATAACACACTTTCGATTACTACGTTTATTTCGAGGGCATTTTGCCTCCCTAATTTTCGAGAAAAGGTCCTCCGCTCCTCTTTATCGCGACCCTACTCATTACCTGTGCGTTAGACTGACGAAATGGCACCTCGTTTGGCCAATGACTGGAGGACCAATTTGCGCCTCCTTCGCCAACGAGTTCATATTATCGCTCGAAAGCTAAACAGCCTTTCCTGGATCCTACTTTCGAGGAGATTTTCAATTTTCAGTCTACCGTAAACCCGAGACTCTTGAACTTCACTTTGCGAGGTAATAACTAGGTACCTATTTCCACGTACAGATGTTACCTACTTTCGTTGAACCTTCACGGTAAAATTGCTTAAATATTTGTGCAGGCGAGAGAATATATTAAGTATTGCTAGAAAGTGGTATACACACCATAGTACAGGTGTACATAAGCTCGGCCATCACCTCGGTGAAATTCTTGAATTTTTCAGCGAGTGGGATGAAAATAACTACCTACCCAAGTGCTCCGTTGTCGTATCCCTTTTCTCTCTGTATATATCCAGGTTTAAATTGAAATGGGAGTTGACATTTTTTCTATATAAATATCGCGATATAAATGATCCAGTAAGTGGGTCACCTTAAATTGCACCGGTTGCGTCAATAGTCTTTTTCATTACGGAATTGAATGCACTCTGAGATCGCTTCGACCATTTTTACCCTTTTCCTTCTTGCCCTTAATTTAAAATGTTAAATGGCCGACTTTGAAAGGCATATCGAGCGAGCAAAAGCGAAGGAAGGAGGAATCTTGTTCGCGGTCTCTCCTGGAAAATATGGCGGCCCATTGTCACGGGTAAATGCCGATCGCACAAGAGAGGCGCCATTTCTTTCCTCCTTTTCCGTGAAGGCCTGAATGGGAGAATGGCGAAAGTGAGATTAAGAGATTATCTCGTTTTATCGCAACACCGAGAGAGCATTACCGTATGCCCGGGGAATGCGTCGTGCACTCGGCCAAGTTTGTCCTTCGCCGAGGTAACGGGCTCACCTTAACTCTCATTTAATTTTCCACCTTCTGCAATTTCCACGCCTCGTAACCGGCAGAACGTTTATAGAGAGACCTGCATTACCTGCTTTACCTGTCGCGTGAAAGCGCCTCTTTTCAAGAAACGCTACAAAGACCGATTCAAAAGAAACTATTTTTTTTTCCTTTCTTTTTTCATCCAAAATAATCTCCAGCTCCAATCTCTAACTTCGAAATATTTGTTTAGCATGAAGTCCTTTTTACTCGCTTCTATTGCGCGTCGATGAAAATTCAAGTTTATAGGGACAAAATTTAAATGGAGACCTATTTTTTTAAGAGACCATCGTAAGGTTTTTTTATACCAAGTTAGTGCTTACATTGAAACCAATCCTTGAGAAAATTCGATAACAAATTGATATATATTCAAAGTTTTATTTTCAGTAAAAGTGTATTTCGTCCCATACAAATAGAAAAAAATTATACATCCCTGTTACTAATTTCCATGATTTTACCCCGCAAATTTTATTTCTCCCTTAACTTTACATTCAAGAATCGTTAGCAGCACAGACGAAACCGGTAAATATTGGTATTAGATATTCGAGATACTGTTTTATAACGCACATCATTAATGCACTCTTGCTTCCTAAGCTTTTTCACCCGAGAGCCGTAGAATCATTATATACGGTACTTAGGTAAAACCTAGCGTTTTCCTTTTCCAACTTTTCGGTAAGGTCATGTTAAATTTCTGGTAGTAAATATTCGAAAGAGGAATAGAGCAGGAAATTCCCTCGCCACGGTGCCAGTGGCAAATCGTTTCCATTGAATCGCGGTTTTCATGCGTTTTTTAGCAGGTTCGTGCCCGGTTGCACCGCTTGGCGCCGTCAAAAGTTAACGCGAATGCAATTGTAAAAGTTAAACGTTTGTGCGCCTTGGAGCAATGTAATGGTCCGCGGATCTCGGACCGTGGGCCCATTGTGGGTTAAATCGATTAAATCCGACCGATTCGAATCGACATAGACCGGCAATGATTTAACGACCGCCCGAGATGCCCGCAGATCCGATCGATCTCATAATCCACCAACGCACGCGATAAATCCTAACGACTCGCCCACCTTTTAATTCGCTTCGATTGATTGTCGGATAGGTGCGTGTAATGGCTGAGCATATAAGAAAGTGGGGAGCAGCTTTTACCACGATCTAGTTATACGAAGTTCCAGCGAGACCGAGAAAGAAAATATCGTTCCTTAATATGGAGATATCTCTAGAAGAAATTGGTCAAGCTAAATTTTAACCCTTTTAGTGCCGGGCGAAAAAGAGGTGCTTATTCGAAAATAACCGGCCGAATTTTACAATTTTACTAGGATTTGGAAAAAGGCTCGTAAAAACCAAACGAAAAGCAATATTTACATAATTCAAAAAGCAGGGTATTAAGGACAAAATAGAGAATAAAACAGTGACGCTAATTTTTCTATATTCGTTGAAAATTACATAAATAACAGAGGTATAGGTTATAAAAAAAAAAAAAGAAAAATTGAGTTCTCTGTTTCAAAACGTAATTGCACATAGGAAAAGTCATCTCGAGATTTATAATCTTCTTTTTTATCCCTTTTCACCGCCTTAGTTAAAGGGTTAAATCCTAAAGTTGGTTTTTAGGCATTTGTTATGTACTCTTTTTAAGTAAAAACCAAGTCGATATCTCAGCGCACTTCGAAGATATTAAGAAATTTGTTAAAACATCCTCTACCCCTTTTCACCCCGTTTGGGGTTGAATTTCGGAAAATCCCTTTTTAGTGAGATATATATCAACGAATAAAGGATGTATATATAAATTAATTTAATGCGGAAATAAGCGAGTAATACGGAAATTGATAACGAGGAATGGGCGAATTAATTCAAGACAATCGCGAATATTGACAAATCAAAGGAAGAGGTACTTTAAGCCATTACAAACTCAAGCAATTGAAACAACTAAAAATATTAACTATTGGGCACTAATTATAAGGGTCAGTGTCGTCGAGTCCCTTTGTCTAAAGTCGAGGAACCCACGCGGTATTTACCGAGATGACTTACTCGAGTCGAGGAATGTCGCCCCACCGAGAGAGAGATTTTTCTCAAGCTGTGAAATTACGGTCCTCGACGCGACGGAATTACTGTCGCGTAACTTTGTCGCGTAGGCGCCAAGTTACGTTTGCCTGCGCGACAAAGTTACAATTTCCGGCGCGACAAACTTCATTTACAATTTCATTGGCCACGGGCCAGGCTACGTCGGTGTCGGGGAAAGTAATCCGGGGAAAAGCTCTCTCTGGACAGCGTCGGGACCGATAGTAGGAAATTCCTCTCCTTATAAAAAATGGAACGGAGTTTTTTTTTCCAATTGTCACTCCTTATTCTTATTTTTATTTTATGGGGACATAAGTGAATCAAGGCCTCCGACTTCGCGATTCGCTCGCCTCCTGGGGTGAATTATTAAAAAAGGTACCTCAAATAATCCGAGAGGCTAATAGATGTTGAGAAAGGGAAAGCAATACATGAATGAAAGCCACATAAATATGTGTTACCATCGCTAATTACAATTGTTTGATGCCACGTTAAATATGTATACATAAAAATTGTATATTAAATTTCAAACTATTTCAAGAATCGCGTTTATTCGTCCCTGTGTATTCCAGACTCTTTGTCTGTAACGCGCGTTTTTTTAATATATGAAAAGTCTGAAGATATTTCTTGTAAACATTCCTTTCGAGAAAATGTTCTCGAAATCATTTATTCTTTGACTTAAGATGATATGGAAGGCGCTGAGAAATTTAA